TTTTTTCAAAACTGTTTAATCCAAAGTCCACGATAAATTAGTCTCCACAAAAATGAATTTTAATAAGATCAAATGAATCTGAAAATCTTAATGACTAGTATTTGAGTCATCTTAATAATAGACTTATTATTGTATACCATGTCACTCACCGATTTCATTTTAACTGGAGATGTACCATTATTATTTATTTCCCTTTGTTGATACAAAATTTTAGTGGACTCTCGATTGATTCTAGTTAATTTTAATTGTCAACAAGTATATTATGTACAACAGGTAAACAATTTCAAAATGTGGGCTGGAACATCACTGCATTGGTTAGTGAGAGTGCAAGTCTCGACACAGATTACTTGAATACTATCCATATTACACTCTCTTCTATTTTCATTCACTTGGTATTACTCTATAGCACTTGAATTATCTCAATCATCAAAAGATTTCATTCAAGTTCTCAAGATATCTAGAGTTACTGCAATAATCAAAAGACTGATTACTTTCAATTGGAATCAATGTCATTATCTCATCACTAACCTAAGGGTAAATTTCAGGAATAATTACAAAAAAAAAACATCAAATTTCATTCAAATGGATGTACACCTGAAAAATGATAATTTGGCTTGAAGTAAATGTTATTTAATATATGTTTTATTAAGGAACAAATTGAGATACTGGTATTCTAATTGCTATTATCATTGTTAAGAAAAAAAAATTCAAAAAAATTATTGACATTTCAAAAAGGTATCTCACATTCCAAGACATTTTCAATACTTTGCTCAATGATAACTATCTATACACAATGACAAGTTCAGGGAATTTCCACGAGATATTACAAAACCCATATTTCACATAGTTGGTCATCAGGACATTGCTCTATATTCAAGTATTAATCATTTTTCTCAGCTGTAGTAGCCATATTGATGAATTTTACGTCATTTAATCCAGGGCACTGGTTGCCACAGGTGGATTTTCAAAACTAATTTTTACCTGATGCAAAGCCGTTAGTCCATCTACATTGGCAGTATCGATGTCAGCCCCTTTTTGTAAAAGTTTGAGCACTTCGTCCTTATCACCAGCAGCACAGGCAGCCAAAAAAACACATCCCGACGAAAATTTTATTTTTCGCGTATTATGTTTCGGCGACACTGGCTGACGGTTCGTATCCGATTCTTCCCAACGTTTTAATTGTTCAGCTCGTTTAAAAAGGGCCGAAGTTGATCTAGTCTCCAGCGACATGATTATTTAATACCTTTACACACGTTCCGTCACCATTACAAATAATTATAGCAATAAAATACCTAAATTCTTCATACACATAACAGAGGGTGCGGTTGACGAAATAGAAAATAAAATAAACTTCAACAGTCAACTTCATTCAGTGCCATCTAGGAGAAACAATTCGACTCACAGTTGAAAATACGTTTTGTTGTTTGTGAGTCAGTTTTTTATCATATTTCAAATAATAGCTGTAAATTAGAACAATGTTACCAGAACGTTAATTTTCAACAAAGTTGAGCAATAATCGAATTAAATGGAATGCTTCTCCATGCTCCTGTACCAATGTTAGTAATATTTATATTTGCTATTGATTTTTTAGTTTTCTTCTGATCTTTTACGTAAACATTATCATGGATTCAATTTCTTTATCCTATCATTAACTTAAGGGTTAATTTCAGGAATAGTTTCTAAGAAAACATTAAATTCCTGAAAGATGTTAATTTAGCTTGAAAGAAATGTTATTTAATATATGTTTCATTAAGGAACAGATTAAGATACTCCAATTTTAATTGCTATTATCATCTTTTTCTGTGGACACAAGTGTTGTATCGTCAGCATATAAACTGGTGCAATGTCTGGTTGTTGATTTATGCTGCTGCAGTCAACGTGTTATTAATTTTCATATTGATATGATACACATTTTTGTAGTAATAACTGAATACGAAAAAGTAATTTTCATGTAATTGATTTTCACTGCGTATCTTTTGCTAGGAATAGCATATACACTCGAGATAAACTGCTTAGTTCTGTGACGAATTTAAGTAATCGCTTATTATCTGGGGGAGTTAAATCAGAGATTTGTCAATTACTGTATGGTGCATCTCTTTGTGATTTCGAAAAGAGGCTGGTGGAAGAATACATCATCCCATTGTTCCATACTATTCAATTAGATTTCGGTACTCCAGGGGGTTGCGAAGCGGTCACGTGCAGCATGCCGATCCATCAACAAAAATTTTCTTGAAGTTGGATTTTGAAAACGCATTCAACATGATCGACAAAAATTTGATGTTACAACGGACAAAGAAGATTTTGCCATATATCGGTAATACGGCTCTCCAAATTTTTTGAATTTTAGTGAACATTTGATAGAATCTCAGAGAGACGTCTAACAAGGTGATCCTTCAGGACCTATATTTTTCTGCCTGGTCATTCAAGAGCCAACCAGAAAACTGAATTCAGGATTCAACTTTTGGTATCTGGATGACGGATGCATTGGAGATGATAATATTGACATAATATCAAAGGATTTGGAGATTTCAACAATTCAAAAGAAATTAGTCTTGAACTTAACTTCGATAAATGTGAATCAATTTCCAATTCAAGTATTGAATCAGAGTTTCTTGCCAACATAACGGAAGTTGTTCCTCGTATAAACCTGTTTCAATCTAGGTAGTTCATTGTTTACATTAATCAAATAAGACGATACTGAATTGATGACCGGAACTGAAAAGTAGTCAATGAAGTTTTTGAACTTTTTTGAAGAATGGATGCAGTTTCAGAAAATGATTACGACGAAATGCTGTGAAAATCACATGATTTCACTCATCTAGATACGGAAAGTATAAAATAATTTTTAGTTTCCAATTCAAATAACTATTCGCCTCAGAAAGGCTTTTGGATTTTCCTGAAAACAACATAAAAACGACCAAGGTTTCGTTTGACAATCACATGTACAAATATTCCAAATACAAACTCTCCATCTGCCAATTGTTATTCTTACCACAACGAAATCATCGGTTTACCAACTGGCCGGATAGCCATCGGTTAGTATTTTGATATTTGATTCAGTTTTTGGAAAATTATGTTCAATTTTCAATCTGTTTTTCAGTATAACTACGATAGCAGTGATTTTCAAAAAACCAAGCCACATTTACAGTTATTTTTGGAACATAATTTTAAGAAAACTAAACGTAAAATGAATCTACCGAGTCGCATCGCAATAAGAGTATATCAATTCGATCGTTGCCCCATCGTCTTCAAACAAAATCCTTATTGACGATAAAATGAATACAACGGAAATAACTTTCAAACAGCAAATAGAACTTTCAAATGGATAATACAAATGTTTTCTGCATACACGACAATAACAGAATAATATAATGTCCTACAAACGAAATATTTGTCCCAAAATAACCTGTGATATTCCAGCGCCATTTCATTTAATGCTTTTCGGTGGACACTTTTAGAGCCATGCCTCACTTTTACCCTCACTAACCCAATGTAAACAGAAGGAATAACGAAAAATCAACATACTCATAAATTTCCACCACAGATCACAACTACGTGTTTCCAATCTATAGACAGTATCTCCATTGAGTAGATCTTTGTAAGCTTTCTACTGTGGTCAGGCGAATTATTAACATTTGATAGTTTGTTAAACTTGTTGAGGACTACGGAGTGAGCGACATTTATTTTTATGAAATTCCATCGTAACATTTGTTTTATGAAACCGAAAAGTCAGAGAGCCCTCTTCTCGAAACATCTGCAGTCCCGTCTGTACATACTCCGATCGAATAAGTGTAAATGTTTCAAGAACGAATGAGTGATTCGAGAATAGTTTACTATATGGATATTAGGAAGCATAAATACTGTGATATCATAAATATATAATATTATAGCATATATGTTATAACATCTATGCTAGTAAGTTAAAAAATATTGTTCAGCGAAACAGCGTGATATTGGGAACACGCGTGTGTAACTAGTAAATTACCCCCTTTGATGCTACAAATACTGCATGAAATTAAAAATGAAACTTCAAATTTTTCATAGTACGAAATTGAAAATAATAATTTTCAAATTTGTTAAAAAAGTACCCCAGACTGGTAGACAGATGAATTGTTATTTCTCTCAGTTCAAATTTTTCACAGAGAGGGCGATTCAGATGTCAAAATTTGAGTATTCGATGCTAAGGTTTGTTTTAATCGATCAGGAGATAAAAATTGAATGTGATTGTTTCATTAATATTGATGATTCATCATGATTGCATAAGACACGCTAGAGAAAGCCATTGTATGGCAAAATACGTGTTGCGTTTTTTCTAAAACTGTCTAGTGAAAATCTCACAATAAATTGTTTTTAGAATACGTTAATCATTGCATAATCAATAATAATCAAATATGATTGTAGTCTTTTTTAATGTTCATGAGATAACCATGAGCGATACTAGAGTTAGGGGGAAGTTATTCGAATTAAAGATCAAATCGAGTTCGAATTGCAGACTATTTGCACGGCTCTCTTCGATATTCGAAAATAGCAAAAAATGGCCGATTCCATCACATATATAGATAATGTCGTTCAACAATAAAAATACTTACAATCGTTTTCGAATTCACTTGTTAAGAATAAGTCATTCATAAAATCAAGTTATCTCATACAATACGGTTCTCATCTAAGGTTCTCGTATACTATCCCTGGTTCTCTGGTAGCACATAAACACATGAACCTATCGAAGAAGTGGAGTAACCGAACGGTCGATGAAGCATTCTATTCAAGGATCTTTCAATTTTTCCAGGAGCGTTCTTGTATTCTGTAATCTCTTCCTGACGTTCAGTGTTATTACAGAAGTTTATTGTTAGATTTTGAGCAAACTAAATTTTTCTAAGAGTGGAATAATCGAAGTATTTTGGATAAGGAGAAGAGTCAAATAACCGAACACTCGATGAAGAGGGGGAAACGGATACTCGTCATAAACCACTCCTATAAATTCAGTTGTCATCTGTCATTTAGGAATAGTGCTTAAATTTTTCATTATGGTACGGCAGTTGGCGCTTTCGACAGGGTAAAAGTGAAGCGTACTTAGTTGTTGGTGATTTTGCTATTGTCGGACATTTAGTAGTTTTCTTCGTGAAGAGTAAACAAATAATAGAGACAGTTTCTGTACTGAATCTTCAGTGTTTGTGTATCAGGATAGTTCTTGAAGTGAGTATATGTTTTCTTTTCATTTAAAATAAATCGCATTTTGCGGCATCCGCCATCTTTGCTTTACAACTCGGCGGCTTGGTGTCTAAACGGCATTATTTCATAAATTTTCATTTTTGCAAATTCTGTTCTGAATATTGAAATACAATTTTCATTTCAGTAACGCTGCTATGAGTTACTACAAACCCAGGTAAGATGAATATTGGCGAAAGTAAGGCGAATGTTCAGAAAGTGTTGATGGAGTTTCATAAAATGTCAATAATTTTTTAAATTTATGCAAACTTGGCATTCAAGGCTGCTTAAAATTTACTCGACGACTTTCAGTTGTCTTTAAATCTAGTTAAGGCTTCGTTTTTAAATCCGGTATCGACCAAGTAAACGCTATTTATTAAGCTTGAAAAGAACACTGATAGAGGGGGTACATTTATCAGCATCTCCATTACTCCATTTAACTTTTGGCTGAATTTGTACGAGGTCGATACATATTTTACAAGGAAAGATAGATATAGGAAAGGAACAGAGCAGAACTTCATATCTGTTGAATTTTGATTTATCTTTCAAAATTGAGTTTGAAAATGTGGGGTTAAAACTGGTTTTGTGTCAGTGTAGTTTTAGGAAATAACTACTTTGTTTTTTACAAAGCTTATGGGTGATTTGTTGATTTTGCATTTGCAAGAATGTAAGAAAAGTGTAGCAGTGACACCTTTGGTTTATCTTTTGCGCTACCTAACTTCACATCTGTGAGATTGAAGTTCTCAAATGATGTGAATATAGACTTACAGTAGGATAAAGGCAGGATTACACATGCTTCATCAAAGAAAAAAGCAATAAAAATCATATTTTTACATAGCATCCTTTTCTTCCACAAGTGAAAACAATTACCTATTGTTACATGGGATTTTTACTATTAGAGAATTTCAAAAATACAAGCAATTCTTCATTACAAGGTTAGAAGTGGTCACATCATTTTATTTTCATTAATTTGTTACTTATATTGATGACGCCTGTGTATTCTTTCTTCGCCAACTGTAACGAACATATTTTTATCACATGTTTGCATTCAGAGTTATTCCCCAGTGGTTTTTTCATAAGTAGCAAAGTATTCTTATATTTTGACAATTGAATTCTTCTCGAAACAGGAACTAAACTGTGTGTATGTGTGTTCTGGATGTACTTTTTATGCATTTTTTTTTCTTGAACAAAATTTCTTGGATATGGTAATATGTTTTAATTTTACAGTTACAGCCAGTCTGTAGCAATGGTTCGAGGTAGAGGATATTCTTCGAGAAGTTCTTATCGCGGTGGTTCTGGTCGAGGTAATTCCTCATGGGGAGGAAACAGAGGACGAGGAGATGGAGGATATTCAGGTTCAAGATATTCCTCACATTTTTCTGGTATGGAATCCAGGAGTCCTTATGATTCGAAACCCAAGTATTCAAGTTCAGCAGACAGATTTTCTAGATCAGATGATTACCATAAGTCTTACAGATCTGTAAGTATTATTTTGAATAATATTTTATGCATTCATTGAATTTTGTTGATACATTTAGTAAAATCTCCTTGACTCACAAATCAAAATAACATTGCATTTAAATATAACAGGCTTATTTGTTATTTCAGAATAGATTTTCATTTATCTAAGAAATAATTAAACAAATAATAAAAATAACGTCACATCCACGAAAAAGATGTCAGATCTAAATAGCTGTAATTGTTGTGCCTGACTTGCCAGGAATAACAATTTGGCTGGAATCACTGGTGAAGTAGATATTCTTCTAGAGCAAATTATTTATTTATTCATTCATCCAAACATGGTGACTACATGGATATAACAGATAAAATATATAATTTTAGTTTAATACTAATACATAATAAAAATAGTACATAATAACTACAATACAATGTATTCATAACTTCAAATGTCAGTATACAAGAACCACAGGGAAAGATTATACAGAAATATTGAGTATATAATTCAATATTAATTGATGAAAACTATTTTGAGATGAAGTCCAATTAAAGGATGTTAAGACACCAATTTTATTAGCCAATCGAAGCATGTATTCGAGAGAAGATCTAGTTCCATATAAATTTGAAGGGTAGTTAAATTCACAGTATCCCAGCGGTACATTAAATGGTATCAAGGATAATTTTGCAGGACAATCTATTCTACTGTTTAAAAAAATGCCTTTGATGGGGAGATGATATTTTAAATTCTATTCTTTAATCTCCATTTATGATATTCAAAAAAAAATGATCTCAGCAATTTATTTTGCACTTTTTCTAGATCACCGAGTTGAATTTTCGTTTGACCAAACTTCGGATGCATAGTCAAGTTTGGAAGGTATAATAAAGTGATTTAATAGTTTTTATACTGGTAAAATGCCTGCTTTCTCTGATTATGTATTATAACATCCAATTAGCAAATTTTATGATATTGTAAATATGGTTGGCAAAGGAAAAAGTAGAATTATAAGTTACCCCCAAATCTTTAATGTCCTCTACAAGCTCCAATATTTTATTATCCATTGTGTAATCTAAAACAACTTGGTGTTTGATTTTATTCTTAGTTAGAACATGACATTTACTTTTGTTGAATGAAAGTTTATTATCATGACTCCATTTTACTATTGAATCTTTCTGTAAGAGTATACATTCCCTAACCGTTTTCAAATTTTTGACAAATCTTAAATCGTTTGCAAAAAGTAAACCATAGGAATGATTTTCCAGTACTGATGAAAGCTCGTTAAGGAACAATGTAAACGAGAGGCCCCGAATTGGAACCTTGTGGGACTCCTGAAGTTATAGGGAACTTTAAAGATATATTTTGATTATGTTTAACAATAAAAATCTATTTTGTAGGTAATTTGACAATAACTGTAATATCCGTCCTAATTTATGCAGTAATACATCATGATCCACCTGAATAAACGTTTTTCTGAAATCAGTATAGAGTATACCCAACTGGGACGTATTTTCAAAACATTCACACTGGAAAAAAAATAGATTGGATTCAATTGATTTATTTGTCATGAATCCATGTCGCTCTGGGACAATATATTTATTGGCATATTGATACTTTGTATGAATAATTTATTCAAATAATTTTGCTGGAGAACATCGTATTCAAATTGGTCTATAGTTCTCTATATCCTATTATGTAACGAGTACGTTTGTAATTCAACCAATTCACAATTTAATCACACTTGTTAGAATGTAATCGCAAATATACTTTTCTTAATCAGTGTCGTAAGTTATTTCAAGTTTTAATTATTTTTAGGACTCCAGCTACTTAGGCCGTGAAAGCAGGCGGTCCCCTGAACGCAAAAGAATGAGATTAGATGTAAGTATATCTACAATTTTTCGTTTTCCACAGGTTTCATTAGAAAGGCAACACCGAAAAACCTATAATGGTTCAGCTCTATGATTTGCGAGTACGAGAAAAGCTGCTGAGAAATTCTGTATTGACAGAATTTATTTCAGACTGAAAGATGCAGATGTAATTCAAAAAGGACAGTACAAGTAGTAATCAACCGATAGTAGAGTATAATAGAAAGAAATAAAATTTGAATGCCTTTACGTTTTGTTTTGACTCATAAACCCAATAGACTTGACGTCTGAGGGCGATGAGATTATTCACATTGTTGCTTATCTGTGTTATCCAGGCTACTAGTTCAAGACATGAAAGTTCTTATGGAGGATATGGAGCGAGTGGTAGACACGACCCTCCCAGCTATTCGGAGCGAAGATATTCTGGAGAGAGGCACACCTCCACCCCATTCTCTACCAGAAGAGATGAATTTCGAAGGCCTTCCGGACCTCCTCGAGGAACTTATAGAGGTCGCCTCAGTACTAGGGGCACAAGAGGGCTAAGAGGTAGAGACCGCCCGATAAGAAGACGTCTGGTAGACAGTTCATATACAATACGCAAGCGAATTGTACCTAGAACATCTGACTACAGTAGGAGGTTAAAGATATCTAGAATGAGGAGGTAAATACATTTTATTGCAGAAACAAAAAACAAAGAAAACCATGTTTTTCAATATTATTAGTTTGTGACAGTTTTACTTGAAAGTGGGCAGCGTTGCACAGGCAGCATGGTAGAAATCATGTGCATTACAGTAGAAGCATCAAAGAATTTTTATTTTTTTTTCATTGAAATTGTTGAAGAAGTGAATGTCTTAAGACAGTCCGAAAGAAAGAATAATACAATGCGTCATCCTGGTCCAGACAGTGTAACATTAAATAATTCTCTAGATTGAGAAATCTGAATCTACAATAGATCCACTTATCTTGATTTGAAATCTTCAATGTGACAAAGATGGAAGTCATGTTTAACAGAGAGTATTGGATGATTAAGTAGCGACAGATGGATAAAGATGTTAAATGCTTGTATGAATATTTTGAGGTGTTTTGAAACTAATACCATTTTCTGTGAAGTCCGCTGTCATTTTTATCTGTTTCTTTGTACCAAGTATTTTTATTTTCAACATGTTTGACGTTGCTGTGTTTATCTGTGTACCACATTACTTTTTCTGTCTACCCGTTTGTTTGGTTATCTTTCACTTGAATTCTCTTTTTAACACACTTCCACTTAGATTTTCTTTTTTCCAGGTTTTTCAATTCCTTCCTTTTAATCCCTTCCTACTTTACGTGTATCAGTATTCATTTGCTGACTTTTTGTTAACTTTGTTTTTTTATGTATTCAAATTGGTTTGTTTTTTCCTTCAGCTATTCACTTTTCTGAATTGTATGACTAATATTGTGTTCTCTAATTTTACTTTTGTTATCTGTTCTGACACTACTTGTTTTTTTGTTTTCAAACATTTCTGATGTGGTTTGGGACTTACTTCTGTTGGAAATTACTGTTTGTTGGTAACCAACTCTTTTCTAAACTTTCAATTGAATGTTTTTTCTTACATCATTGAAAATTCTTCAGAATATGAGATTATGCATTTTTGGAAATGCACACGATATGCAAGGGATCAGTCAAAATCAAAATCTTAATCATGTGGAGAAATAACATCAAATACGTTCAAGGATAAATGATACCAACATAATACCGACATGAATTGTGAATAGTGATACCGAGAAAATATTTGTGATAGGTCGAAAATCATATATGGGGCAGGAGCTGGAATTTACTGTGCATGCAGGAATTAACATTACGGCTACTTGCCCTGTCGATACATATCCTTCAAGGTAGAAGTGTAAGGGATCTTGCAATTAGAGGGATAGACGGTTAAGCGGATTACTGAGTGGTCTCAACTCAAAGTTCAAAAGGCTTGAACAATCAAATATTTTCAAATCTTCTTATTATTGAAATATAATGGTTATAAGTTTGAAAGAAATAACTGGCTTTGACGAAAATAACTTGTCCAACAGTCGAATTAACAAATTGGTTAAATAGCACTGATTATTGAATTATGAATTTTTCTCATATTCGATTCTTTAGTTTGTGTAAGTAGGTAAGTCTAAAGTGAATGGGTCTATTTGATCCTCCACCGCAACCCACAAGGGTTTATTGTGGCTCACACCCATTTACACACAGCCAAATGAACCCAGCTTCTTAACGAAGCTGATTAGTTTGTATGGTGAGTGGTCTTTCAGGTCAGATGGTGAGAGTACGGATCTGCCCAACTCAAAGAACCTGATTCGGTCCCCAGCAGGGCAGGCACAAAGAATATGCTCTACTGTTTCATTTTCAAGACAGAGGGGACACAAACTGTCGTCCGACAGTCAAAGTCTCTGCATATGATGATTCATATGACGGTGACCTGTAAGAAGGCCTGTTAGACATCGTAGTTCATCCCTACTGTAGTCCAACAACTGTTTGGAATCAAGCTTCGAAGGGTGAATAAACGACTTGGAGTGAGCCAATCCTGGAAGATTCTGCCAGAAGTCCATAAATCTTTTTGCCATCCAGGTGTTCAGTGTTTGTTTGGCAAGGCCCAAAGCGATGCCAATGACAGGTTTTGGTCCAATGAGGCCGCTTGCAGCACCCTCCTTTGCAAGAGAGTCAGCAGCTTCATTGCCTTCCAGGTCAGTTTGGCCGGGAATCCAGCCCAGAGACAATCTATTAAGTCTTCCTATTGAGGAGAGTCGTTTTTGTCAGTTTGCTACCAATTTAGACGTTGCTCAGTAGGAGCCAAGAGCTTCCAACGCCTCTTGACTGTCCGAGAATATTTTCATTGGCTTGTGTGTGAGGTTGGATTTATCCAATCTCCCAGCACACAATTCAATAGCGTAAATTTCCGCTTGAAATAGTCGCATAAGTTCCTAGGTAGGTAGATAACTCTGTCCTGGGTCTGCGACTGAAAACATCTGCATCAGAACCGGAAGGTGTTGATCCATCTATGAACCAACAACTATCTGCTCTTGATATTTCCTTCTCCCGGAGAATCCAGTCCTCTCTACTCGGGAATAGTACTTTATAAGGCAGTTCGTAGTTGACAGTTAGAGGCATAAATTCAGAGGCATACAATGTCAACCAACAGTCTGTTGCACTCTGCATTGAATTGATTTGTGCAATTGGCAATGTGCACAAGTCTGTATGCAGTCCATCTAGCCTCTCTCTCCAGAAAAATGTGTAGAGGAGGTAGATCTAGAAGGATCTCCATGGCCGCTGACGGTGTGGTACTGATGTCATCACTGATGGTCAGACAAGCCTGTTTCTGTAAGCCAGAGAGCTTCGCTTGGGCCGTTTTCTGTGAAGCCTTCGGTCACTAGGCAATTGCTCCATAAGTGGTCATTGGTCTGAAAATCATCACATAAATCCAATGGATTTGTTTGGGACCTAAACCCCAAGTTTTACCATAAATCCTTCGACATATCCATAGAAACAGTCTGGCTTTGTGTAAAATTTTTTCCAAGTGAGCGTTTCAGGTGAGTCTTTTATCAAAGACGCTGCAAAGATATTTCATCTCCGTTCCAAATGGAATGACCACAGCATTGAAGGAAAGTGGCGTTAGATCGTCCAATTTTCTTCTCTTGGTGAAGGGGATTAACGCAGTTTTGCTGGGGTTGACGGACATCTGTTCCCTCAGGCACCAACCAACCACAACATCCATCGTGCTTTGGAGGATATTACAAGCTACAATTCCCGACGTGGACCTTGCCAGGATGACGAGGTCATCTGCAAAAGCTTGCAGCTCAACTTTTCTTCTGTCGAGGGCATCAAGCAGACTATCCACCAGGAGCGACCACAGAAGGGGAGATAGTACCCAACCTTGAGGGCAGCCCCTGGTTATCCTGAACCTGATAGCCTTGCCTTGAAGTGTCGTAGTTGCAGTTCTGTTTACTAGCTGTTTACTGTTTACTAGATTTAGGTAGTGACTTGTCAAATGCTCCTTCAATATCAAGAAATACAGCAACCACTGTATACACAAATGCCGCTGTGCTAATACACAAATTATTCATACATACAATCTATTTACATATTTATGTAATTTTTGTATAGGCCAGATCGTGAACTATAATCTTAAAAATACCTATATTTTGATGAGATTACTAGTAAGTAGAGCATGACAGAATGTTAAAAAAAAAATGAAAATAATTTTTACCAGCTTTTTGAACTTTATGACCAACCACTGTGTGGTGAATCAAAAAAGATTGATTGTACGAGGTATGTTCATGGGTTTGGAGAGTCCAATTGTCAATGTTTTCATTATGTTGGTATACATGACCCTGAAGTATGATAACATTTTCTGTATTAATTGTTTACTTTAGTATTAATCATTTTTCTCAGCTGTAGTAGCCATATTGATGAATTTTACGTCATTTAATCCAGGGCACTGGTTGCCACAGGTGGATTTTCAAAACTAATTTTTACCTGATGCAAAGCCGTTAGTCCATCTACATTGGCAGTATCGATGTCAGCCCCTTTTTGTAAAAGTTTGAGCACTTCGTCCTTATCACCAGCAGCACAGGCAGCCAAAAAAACACATCCCGACGAAAATTTTATTTTTCGCGTATTATGTTTCGGCGACACTGGCTGACGGTTCGTATCCGATTCTTCCCAACGTTTTAATTGTTCAGCTCGTTTAAAAAGGGCCGAAGTTGATCTAGTCTCCAGCGACATGATTATTTAATACCTTTACACACGTTCCGTCACCATTACAAATAATTATAGCAATAAAATACCTAAATTCTTCATACACATAACAGAGGGTGCGGTTGACGAAATAGAAAATAAAATAAACTTCAACAGTCAACTTCATTCAGTGCCATCTAGGAGAAACAATTCGACTCACAGTTGAAAATACGTTTTGTTGTTTGTGAGTCAGTTTTTTATCATATTTCAAATAATAGCTGTAAATTAGAACAATGTTACCAGAACGTTAATTTTCAACAAAGTTGAGCAATAATCNTTCTGAAAGTGCTGTTTTCTTAGGACTATGGAATTTTTAGACTTTTTTTTAAATTATTGTATTGAGTTTGAATATTGGCATTTGGTCATGATGCTTAGGTTTGTTCATCTTCTGCGGCAGTCTAAAGTGCAATTATTCCACAGATGAAGTATTATGCTGATATCGTTGGTGTTTGCTTATTTTCATAGAAAAATGTGAAGAAGTTACCATTTTTAGCTATAACATTATCATCTATTTTCATAAAGTATTGGCCAATTCCATGGCATAACTGATATAGATATTTTTACTACTTGGGTCATCATAGTCCATTTATTCCAAGTCTGCGGCAAACTTTGCATCCTCTTTTTCCGTCTGACTTTTTAAGGCACACATTCCAAAAATCTTGTTCCCTATTCTAATTTGCATAGGTCGTTTGCCTATTACTGGCCTATTATAATTTAGTGTCTCACCATCGCATAAAACAGTATACTGCCTCTGCCCCCTTGTCGCATTGCCTACAGCTAAGATTTCTGTTTAGGTGTTCAATTCAACACCAAAAACATACTCAACTGATGCAGTAACTTTATTGAACTACTTCAGTTTTTTGGATTTTAAAACTCCCAAGTAGATAATACACTCTGTA